ACACCGGGCCGATTATCGCTCGCGATTATCATTGACGTTTAACGCCTCATGACCAAACAGAGGGCGCCAATGTGAGTGTGCACACCGACGTGCAAAACGGCAGGCGTAAAACACACCAAATGGTCTTGCCGAGCACACATTGATACCTAACGACGAAGAGGAAGTAAGTAGATGAAGAAGATGCATCGAGGCAAGATGAATGTAGAGCTGCTGATCTCATTGGTGTCTGAACACAAATAACTTTATGACAAACGCGACAGTGCCTACAAAAATGGTGTAAATGGTTTTGACAAGCACCACTAAATAATAGCGCTAAAAAGTGAGGAGCGTGGTGGGGCTTTGGCAATCGGCGCTACCGATATCCGTCAATCTACTCCACAGCCTATCACGGGCCCCCTCCTTGCTCGGGCCCCGGTGCTTCAGCCCCGCCTAGCCCAATGGTTAATGGCCCTGTGTATTGACTATGACTGAAGGCTTGTGCACACCGGGCCGATTATCGCTCGCGATTATCGTTGACGTTTAACGCCTCATGACCAAACAGAGGGCGCCAATGTGAGTGTGCACACCGACGTGCAAAACGGCAGGCGTAAAACACACCAAATGGTCTTGCCGAGCACACATTGATACCTAACGACGAAGAGGAAGTAAGTAGATGAAGAAGATGCATCGAGGCAAGATGAATGTAGAGCTGCTGATCTCATTGGTGTCTGAACACAAATAACTTTATGACAAACGCGACAGTGCCTACAAAAATGGTGTAAATGGTTTTGACAAGCACTTCTTCTTCTGCATGACAAGCGAGTGTCAGAAGCGTAAAGTTGCACAGCGCCACCTTGTGTACCGGGGTATTTCTGTTTTTCATTAAGCTCCATCTAATGTCAGGGAGTGAATTTGCACATTCACTCGGCTCATCGCCAGTGAAAATAGCTTGGGTATGAACACAAAGACGGGTCGAAAAATGGTGATAAGTGCAAGCGATAATCGTCTCGGTGTGCACGAGGCTTAGTGATTCTCTCTTCATGATTTCTTTTTCTTTTTGAGTAAACGCTGTACTTTATTATTATTATTATTAGCAAAGAAAAAGTTTTTAAAAATAACATTATTAACCGGTATGTTTTCTACTCAAATCGGTTTCACAGAGGAACGCAGGAACAGAAACGTTCAAATACCGATTCTGCTCGGAGTGAACAAATATATTTTTTTTCTCGTTTTTAAGCACTGCTTTATGCAATTGACCAATATCGGTATCGGAATTGGCCAATAGTTGTTAGTTAAAATCGGTATCAGCCAAAAAAAATCCTATCGGTGCATCCCTAATATGGACTCACGCATGCTTACTGTACGACTCCTGTACGCCACTGCAATCATCTTTACCGTGATTGCAGTCTTCATCCATCAAAACTTTACTAGCGAGACACTGGTTATCCAGTCGAGAAACCGTAGTTTGCGTCTCATCTGGCCATACAGCGGTGGGATGTGTTGACAAGCCGTTCAGTCTGTACTTCACACACGCAACGTGTGAGGGCTTGTGCTCTTCAGAGACAATCACAGAATATGACAGAGCTCGTGTTTTAAAGCCAAACACACTGGAATTAATAATTTACTTAAAACGCAACGCGAGTCTCTGTTCTCTCTGCAATCTCTGATGTAATCAGCCTGGTTTCCTTCATATTAGCGCTGTTTTGGACGGATTGATTGAATGCATTCACTTACTGGATCATTGGACTGAAAACCTTCCCGGAGTTTAGCAACTTAAAATGATCTGATCGCAAGCAGAGAAGCAAAATTGTGTTAAAGGGTTAGAATGGAAATCGTGCTTCAGTAATTTTGCGTTAATTGCATTAAATTATTTTAACGCGTTAAGGATTGTAAAATTAATTGCATGCGTTAACGTTGACAGCCCTAATATATACAGTATCTCACAAAAGTGAGTACACCCCTCACATTTCAGCAACCATTTTATTATATGTTGTCAAGGGACAATACTATAGAAATGAAAATTGGATATACTTTAGACTAGTCAATGTGCAGCTTGTATAGCAGTACAGATTTACTGTCCTCTGAAAATAACTCAACATACAGCCATTGTTGTCTAAATAACTGGCAACAAAAGTGAGTACACCCTAAGTGAATATGTCAAAACTGTGTCCAAAGTGTCAATATTTTGTGTGAGCACCATTGTTATCTAGCACTGCCTTAATCCTCCTGGGCATGGAATTCACCAGAGCTGCACAGGTTGTTGCTGGGATCCTCTTCCACTCTTCCATAATGACATAACGGAGCTGCTGGATGTTAGACACATGGCGCTTCTCCACCTTCCGCTTGAGGATGCCCCACAGGTGCTCAACAGGGTTCAGGTCTGGAGACATATCTGGCCACTCCATCACCTTCACCTTCAGCTTTCTCAGCAAGGCAGTTGTCATTTTGGCGGTGTGTTTGGGGTCGTTATCATGTTGGAAAACTGCCGTTCGGCCCAGTTTCTAAAGGGAGGGATTCATGTTCTGCTTCAGAATGTCACAGTACATGCTGGAATCCATGTTTCCCTCAATGAACCGCAGCTCCCCAGTGCCGGCAGCACTCATGCAGCCCCAGACCATGATGCTACCACCACCATGCTTTACTGTAGGCAAG